AATATTTGTATTACTAATATCTGTCCTTTGATTCACTAAAGGACAGATAAAGTCTGAGACGCTGATAAATGAACGGTCATTAGGGTAAAGTCGGCTCTAGTCGACTATTTTTGCATTTGGATTTAAATATTTCAGAAAATAAAAATCGGATATTTTAAGCGTGGAAAATATTTAGCATGTCAGCCACTTTGTATCATGAGGCGCCACCGTGTTAGAGAGGCAAGAAGGGAAAAATATAATGTCAAAAAAACAGATAACTATTTTTTTTAAATTTGGATTAAAATATCTCAAAAATGAAAATTCGGACCAGCATAACGTAAGCGTAAGTATTTTGATGTGACGCTGAGTTAGATAGCAGGAAAGGGAAAAATAAAACCGAATGATAAGGATTTTTTCGATTTTTTTTAACATATAAATTAAAATACCTGATTACCAATGATTTTGAGTGAAGATTTCAATGTTAATTTCTCAAAATACACAGCGGAGCCTTTCGTTGATTTTTTGAAATCAAAAATACATTTGGTTAGGACGAATGATCCAAATGAAAGCACAACAGAATAATAACAACGATTGACGGATTTTTTGTTAGATATTTGGCAAATAGATTTCAATAAAAAGTATTCTTCGCACACTTCAGTTATTATAAACCCATTGTTCCATTTATACAGTACAATACAAATAACGATCCGTCAGAGCAATGCTTATCGGTGTAATTTATACACAATTGTATATTTTAAATGTTATTACATTGTGAATATAGAACACAAATAATCTATACACAATTATAATTCTGTATTTTGTATATGTTGTTATTAATTTTTATGTATAGAACAAAAAAAAAAAATTATTCAATTCATATTATTAATCTCGGTGTCAATTATGACAATGGTGTCACATTGACTCATCATACCAATATATAGTCATTTAAGTTAAAACCACATATTGTAAATACGTACCTTCTTATTTTCAATATTTAACATTAAACATTAAAGCTGTGCAACTGTGGAGGGAAAAGAGGAATCAAGAGATCGCATTGATTCTCTCTCAACTGCATCATATTATTGGAAGCTAAATGGGGAGTCCTGGAAAAAGTTAATACAAAAAAAACTAGTATATAAAAAAAATTTTGAATCTCCCAGATGAAGGTGCTCATGACTAGAGTACCGAGAAATCAGCTTAACTACGACTAACGAAAAAAAAAATAAACAATGATCGCCTGATTCGCTTAAGATCGATTTTAGTTCCATTGTACCTGCATTATCGCCATATAGACGGCTTTGGCCTAAATCTACTTCAAGAACACTTTATTTATTGAAATTCTACCGTTCTTGACTACTCTTATATATAAGAGCTACATGCTCTTAATGTTTATTGAATATTGTTCTGCATTTATCAGAGCTGTGTTTCAGTAGATTCCTCTGTTTCTTCCTTTTTCGTACCAAACAGGTAGTGCTTTAAGTCCTCTTATCTTTTCTCTCTACACATCTGATATTCCCGAGTACCCTAGCACCACCCCCTATAAAGTCGCTGACGACACTGTAATTATTATTTCATCCCACAAAAATACTACTATTGCTTTAGTTGCTCTTCAAAATACCCTCCACATCCTAGAAAAATGGTTCAACAAATGGGAAATCAAAATCAATGGCGACCAATCAAGACATGTTAGCTCCTCCTTAAGGAATATTTCGTGTCCTACTTTGTCAATAGACAACAAGCCAGTTCCCTCAAAAATTCATATACATGTCTCGGACTATACTTCGACAAAAACCTCACCTGGACCATACACACCACATTAAAAAAACAAGAACTGACCAGACGATACAAACAACGGTCTCATCTTTTGGTCTATAGATCTCCTCTCAACTTAAAAATAAGCGACTTTACTACGACTTATTTGGACATACGAAGCAGAACTTTAGGGAGCCTCAAATCACGTCCACACAATCAAAATACAAACTGCACAATCCAAAATACTTCGAAAAAATTGTAAATATTTCAAATCACACAATACACAGCGACACGAACATTCCAACAGTAAAAACCTACATACATAACAAATACACCACATTCCAAACTTCTACCATTAATTACACTTTTTCTTCCTTTTCCTCCCTGTTACCTGGGGAACCTCAAAGAAAACTAAAAAGGCAGTGGCTTCGTGATCTGCTCACAATCTGAATACATTTTTAAGAAATAGCAGACAAAACGAACGACAGCATATTTGCTAGATGCGTTATGATATAATGCAAGTGCAGTTGTAAATATAATATAAAATAAATAAATAATAACAGAGCGAAACATTATTCGAAATCCGACAAGTAATTCTATAAAGACATTTTTTTTTTTTTAAGAACCTTATACTCGATAGACCTTTTAACATGTATATCAAGTAACATTTTATCTGTTGTTCAAACATTGACTTCTTAAATGAAGTGAAAGAAGGAAAAAAAGCTTCGAAGGAAATGACTTTATCCAAGTTTCATTTAAATTGGTACATTCGTTTAGGCGCTAGAGTCTATGCGACTTAGCTCATTCGGCCACCATCTTGAAAAAAAAGTACTTTTCAGTGAAGTATGGTCTATACCACTAGCGGATCCGAGATTTGATTTTGGGGACTTCAGCCCGAAGGATTTTTTTATATATATAACGATAATTAATTTGAAAAAAAAAAAGAAAGAAACTAACTACCCATAAGACATGATGTTTTAGTGAGTCTTGAAGTCCTATTAAATGTAATTACACGAACAATAATAGTTTAAGAGACAGTTTTTAATATTTTTTCCTATAAAACATGGTTATATTTTACCATTTTGGGAGGCTTCAGCCCGAAAATTCCACCCCCCCCCCCCCACGTAAATCCGCCTGTGGTCTACACATACATTTAAAGTGCATCAGGAAGAAAACTTTAGCGAAGTTTTATTGAAATCGATCCATTCTTTTGTCCGCTATAGGTGTACCGATAATCAATATAGTTTTTCCGCCGCCCACTTGAAAGGACAGGACGGATTATAGTGTCGAGGTAGGAGGTTCATCCTCTGGTGACCTCTGACTTTGATTTCAAATCTCTATAAAATTTGTGTAGAAGTCACGGAGAAAAGCCGCAGACGGCCGACGAGCCAAATTTTTTTATTCGATTTTCGTTTCAAACGTATCGTGAAACGTAAAACCTCAAATTTTGAGAGTATAAAATCAAGTTTGTTATAAAAAAAAAGTAACTGAATCCGAATTACATGGACTATGTTTTCTTTTCATATGATAACACATGCCTGTTTAATGTAAAAAGGGTTCCACAGAAAAAAAACTTCAGCAGCATAAAAGTGAAAGCAAAAAGTTTGCTTCTGACCATTTTTTTTTTTAAATTAATTTATTATTCTATTTTAAAACATAAAATTCCCCAGCGGTGTGCCCTCTCGATAACTGAGAACCAGGCAACTAGCTCCTCATCCCCTCCCCATCCCCTAGGGGCATTACTGGAGAGAAACTATATTTACAAGGCTATTAATAGGTAATAATCTTAAAAAGAGCCTTTAAAGGAGAGTTTATAGTGATCAATAGTACACGAATCGCGCGACCAAACTGTTTGAAAGGTTTTTTAGAGGATCATCAGTATTCAGGAAAGCTTTCGGCAGCATCCCTCTAAAATGAAAAACGCAATTCTATTCAGTTTGTTTTTCTTCCACCAGTCTTTTTTTTTTTTTTTTTTTCCTATTTCTCTCTAAGCTACAGCCATCCCGAACAGAAACAAAATAAAACAAATCTACTCTAACCTTGTTGATATAAATGACGCGTTTTGAAAGTCTATCTCTTCATCACCAAAACCTATTTTTTTCAGTAGTAAATTCATATTTTTTTATGTATATCCTTTTAATAAACATTTATCACTTTTATAAAATGATGACGAATATATTAAATTCTGGTGCTTTAAACATTATAAATCGATCCTTCTGTAATTAGTTTTGCTATCTTCTCGACCCATGAAGTTTCCCTCAACATTTTGGCCTATGTTGGAATTGGTAAATAAGCATGCACGTTATTTGGTTGTTCTTAATTTAAAAATTTATCGTACTCACTTTTATCCATAAATTGTCTTTTTAAAATCATATTTATATTTGGTAAATAAAATGAGTTCAATGATCAACTTTTTTTTTTCTCCCCTACTTTGCCATTTCAAGTATACAGAGTTTTTCCTTGGTCAGAGGACAGGAATTCGAACACATTATTTTCAGTTTATTAGTTTGCCAAGTTTTATTTTAAATATTAACTTTTTATTTAAAATATCAATACTTGTCATTTCTTTCCAATTACTAATAGACCCAACCGACTTTCATAAATTTAAAAAGAAAAAAAAAACAGAAAAAGTAACTATTAATAACTACAAACAAAAATTAAACATAATCATTAGTATTTACAATATTCATTATCAAATTCATCCATTATACAGGAGAGAAAATGCAGAAATCCATAGAACCCAATGCCCACGCTCAACCACATTATTGGATTTGAGAGACAGTAAATATTACAGGATTTAATTATTTAGGATACAGGATTTAAGATCCAGGATTTAATTTTGGAGGCTTCAGCCCAAACAGTTTTATATATATATATATATATATATATATATATATATATATATACATATACATAACGATTATAACTTTGGAAGTAAAACAAAGGAACTCAATACCTATATTAAATGGTGGTAAATGATTCTTGAACTCCTATTAAATGGTACTTGCATGAACAATAATATTTTTAGAGATAATTTTTTAATACTTTTTTCATAAGACATGGATATACTTCACCATTTGGCAGGAGAGGAGGGCTTCATCCCGAAAGCCCCTGCCCTCCTTCCACGTAGAACCGTCTGTGAATATTACTAAGATTTCAGAAGAGGTCTTGGGACCATTTCTCTCTCTATCTTCTTACAGAAATATATGCAAGAAATGATTGAAAAGATTTTACTTTTTATACACTTTTTATACTATATATAATTTCAGGACGAAGCTGATGGAATGTTCTGCCAAGGATGGCCATAATATTCAAGAAATATTCAGGTGCTTTGTCAGTTTGGCGAGGATCATGCCACCTGCTACAACTGAAGAAACACCTTTGAAAAGGAGGTAAAAACATCAATTTGTTTATTATCATTGAAGTAATAATAATTAGCTAACATGAATAATAAAAGTTAAGATTAGAAATGTTTTTGTACTCTATCTAGAGCTAGAGCAGGAAGGGCAGATTGTTCAATAGATCACAAGTCTGTTTTTTTCCAGAATATAAATTTAACCATAAATTATTTACACAATCTCACTTTCAATCTTGATAATAGTAATGGCTTTGCTTAGCTATAACCGTGATAACTGCTAATTTTAAATTTGTATGGATCCTGTCAAGATCTACTATCATAACGTTGATTGGATTGACAACTTGAAAGATAATCTACACATACCGTCCTAATTAAACTTTACAAAGGTTTCATAAAACTAAGACTAAGAGGGGGAGATATATTGTCTCTTGAGATTTATGGTCTTCAAAAGTTAACTAAAAGTTGAAAGTAATATACTGGTTGCTAATAATTAAAGATGAGAATAACGTTAAACTGTACAATTTTTATTTCAATGGATTTTTCTCCTAAAATCTAATATTTATATTGTTCTGTTAAGAAAGGCTGTTTTCAGACAGATTAATATCGATGTTGCAGATCTTCAGCATATGGAAGCAGAAGAGGAGGAAGCCCAGCAAGCAGCTCTGGGAGCCTGACCCCAACGACACCATCAGCACCAAAGCCGAGGAGCAGAAGCCTCATTCGGCGCTCCTCCAGGAAAGCAAAGCAATGCCTTTCTGAGTCCAATACTGAAACTGACTGCCACATCTCATAGGCCGTCCCCTATTTCTTCAGTTTTTCAATTACATATAATAGTGTTTGTGTATGGAATTATTTATTTTTTGGTTTGATTTACATATTTAGCATTAAATTTGATTTACATAATTGATTGGGATAATTTTATTTAGGAATCGTTAGAATCATAAAAGTGGTTCATTTTAAAATAGTTGATTCACAATGATGTTTTGAACAGTAGTAGAAGCTTTGAGGTGGTATTATTGCAAATTTTAACTTCATAACTAGTTCAAAAGTCATATCTTATTGAAACTTTTAATTTCCTGTTTTGAAAAACCAATATATGATACAGTGTCAATTACATAAAAATATTGAAAAATAAAAAATTTCAAACTGAAACTTAAACGGTTCAATTATCATTTTTAATTGATCAAATGTATCATTTGAAAACTTAAAAAATTATAATATAAACACGTGGATCTGGCAGAGCAGGCACAAATAATAGGTTGAACACAAACATTGCTCTAAAAAAATGTTATCCTTATATTGATCCTGTTATCACATTGAAAATCATATCCTAACAGGAAAATTGCTAAATCAGTTTTGATATCCTTTGTGAAAATGAAAGCTAATTTTATCATAATAACACTTATTAAAAAATAAAACTAGTTTTTTGGGTTAATGAAAAAATGTTTGCTATGTATCAATGAATTCAGATCAAAATTAAACATAAAATCATAGCAAATGTGATTAATTTAAATCATCTTTGATGAGCCTTTTTTTCTTATAATTTTGAGAAAATAATATCAGAATTTCCTAATTATTAACAGAAATAAGTCTAAAACTTCCATTAATAAAATTGTTACTACTTTGATTAAATACATGAGTAAAGTTAAGCATATCTCAAGGTTTGATCATAGAAAAGATAACTTTTTTTCATTTTTAGATTATAGATGTCTTTATCAAACTAGTTCCTAAATTAGGCATGTACTACTTAGTAGCTTAGCTTTTCTTAGAGTTCATGAAAATTAGTTATTTTATATATATTATATAATAAAATAAATTATTGTGTAATCCTCTTTGTATAATTCTTCAGTTATCATATACGACAAATTCCAAGCCTATATCTTATGTAGAGGAAAGTTCTTGGCTAAAGAACTTATTGGCCATTTCGTGACATATTGCCAAATAATAATTCTAAAAAATTAATTTATAATATTTGGACATTTCATTTTCTTCTGATTTAATAATGTTAACCATACTTCGTATTTCCAGCCGTGTTTGGCCTGTTTCATCCTATTGGCCATTCAAATAACACATTTTGAAGGAGCATAATTTCATAAACTCAACATAACTCAGCCATCTCAATGGGCTATTTTTAATCGCTCAAACTATGTCTTGTGGTGGTTGAGTCCCTTATTTAATTCTCTAGTGATACTTAACCTACATTGACTGTTTGGGAGATACATATATATTCAAAAGTACTTATCTCTTTCACACTCTCTGATTAACTATGCTCCCCTCTCATACAATGCCAAGGAAAATATATTCAAAATATGTAAAAAAAAAGTTTAAAATTGTTGAAACCAAGGTAAGTAATCAGGTTATTGAATATTTAATTTTAAAACTAAGCAATTAGGTTATTGAACACTTAATTTTATTAATGTCCATAAACTTATGATAAAATCAGTTATTAAATTATAAAAATATAGCTTTAATTTAGCTTTAGCTAGAATTAAGTGCTATTAGTATTTTTAATTTTTCATGTAAGTACCCTTAGATTTACTCTTATATTAAAACCATTAAGTACTCCTTTGCTTGGTTTTAATCAACAGTTTCCGTTCACACTCAAAATAAAATGTAAACTTTTCAGAATAAGATAAAATCAATAAATATTTTTTTAAATCAGATAAAAACTTTGAAGTTGTATGTTTAAAAAAATGTTTGCTATAATAATCAAACCAGATTAATTGATTCTATATTATCTCAGACTCTTCTTATAGACAAAGGTATAAATTATCTTAAATGTCAACAAAACACAATTAATTTGCATTGAAAAATATAAAAAATAATCGAATAATTGAAAAATCACTAATAATTGGAGATTTGAAATTTTAAAAAACAAAAAAATATAAAATATGGATTCTACTCGGAACAATTACTTTTTTCTGTCCTCGTAAGCCTAATATTATTAATTTTTAATATTTAAAAATATGAATATTTTTGTTTGTGTTCTCTAAGTTACATTACTAGTATTTAGTTTGTCTGATTTTTTTTTTTGATTTTTTAGGGTTCCTCTTTGCCATGATATGCTCATATATATGTATATATATACATATATATATATATATATATATATATATATATATATATATATATATATATATATATATATATATATATATATATATATATATATATATATATACTCACACATTAGAATTTAATTTAATTTTAAGGAGCAGAAGTCATGAAATCAGGAAAAATAATTTAACCAACACCTACATTTGGTTATTTTTTATTTCATTTTTTTTTTTTTGACACTTCAATTAACTCAAACAAAATTAACTCTTCTGAAGTGACTTTTCATTCAAGTAGTTTTTTTTTTTATAGCTTCTATTATAAGTTTAAATGTCTTGAAATAAGATATCATTGATTATATCTGGTCATCTCCAATGATAATATCTGATTACCGATCACATTATATTAACAAAAAATACAGAAGTATTTTTAAGAGTGCTTATTGTTTAATCAAAATCCATTAGTAGATAATTATAGTCATTAGATTTAGTTTGATGAACTAATTGTTATATATAAGTATAATTAATAAAATTAGTAATATAAAAAAAATCTTGAGTTAAGCTTAATAAAGTGTACGTAAAACAAAAGTAAGTCCAGAAGGAATCATTTTCATATTTGGAATCAAAATTATACAAGGAATCAGCCATAAGCTAATTCAGTAACTGGTCAGCATTTGTTGGCATAGACTGCTCCATTTTATTATACAATTACTTTAAAGGTAAATATTACAATATATAAAGAAAAATTAAAAGGAAACTATTTAAGGTACCTATCTTTTATCAAGTAACAGCATAACTGGATAATGACTTAAAATATTAATAAGTAGAATTAAACCATTATATGAAGTATGAACATGGCAGGAAACCTGATCTCAGGTTCTTGTCACTTCTGTAGAGATGATGTTTATCAACATTGTTTTAAAGACGAAGATATAGTTGATCATTTAAGAAGAGATGGTTGGGAGCATGGGCAGGAAAGAAACATACACTAAGTTAAATTATACTGCTTTGATGTTTGTTTGACCATTATGTCTTGGAACACATTAAAACAGTCTAATTTTAGGTAGATTAGCATCAAAATATTACCAGTAACATTATTTCCAGAAAATGATATTTAATATTTTTATACCTATTTTATTTTTATACTGTCTAGTAACAAAATGTTATTAACATTAGTATTAACCAACTTTAACAATTTTGGTTCCTATTGTTTACACTGAACAACAGGGGGAAAATATTCAATTAATTGGTGTAAATAAAATCAAATTTTATAAGTAAAATATATTGACATTTTCAGAGCAAACCTTTAAAAATTTTAGTAACATCTACATAATTGGTATTATTGGCAAAATTATTGCTTGAGCAAAAGCAACTTAAGCTTATTGTGTGTTTCTTTCTTGACTGCACCTCATCCATTTTAATACGAGCCATTTTTATTCATCACTAATATATCTTCTTTTACAATAGGAGAAAGATTCTTATTACATTTATGTTAGAAATAATTTATCCTGTTAATTTAAGTTATTCTATTTCATTTATCGACTGAACATATCATAAACATTTAAGAAACATCAATGGCAAAAACGAGATTCTTCTTTTGTTTTATAGAGGTGTAGCTGAAGTTATTTACTAATTAATAAGGCAAAACGGGTAACAGTAAAGTAAAGCAGACTTTAGTTCTTACTTGATAGTATTTCTCATTGAAGGATTTATTTAAAAATAAATATCTCTAAGTTTCCTTTTGCTCTTCTAAACCACTTTTAAGGCGAGTATGTGATTTTCAATTTAAAAACATATTAACCTCAATTTTATCTAGTATAAAAATAAGTCTGTTGTAGTTAAGTAACATTATAAATTATATTATTAAAGTGTAATAAAACCTTGATTAATCAGAGCAAAGAGTGAAGGTTGGCAGTCATAAAAATAAAAAATTTGTTATTGACAAAGATATGATCTAAAAGTAACTAATGCTTTAGTCTCGATGAACTGATCAACAAGCAATGCATTAGTGCAAACTCTTAATCTATAAATTTTTTATGATTTCTGAATACAAACATTCTGAAGAATTCTGCGTCACATTTATGGACCTAGAAGAGTCGGTCAAACATAAATCAGGAAGGTTAATCAGGAAATGTATAATCTCCTTGGTGAACCTGACATTGTGAAGCATATTACAGTGGTGAGACTGAGGTGAGCTGGCCATGTAGCACAATGTCAGAGGATGAGATCCCCAAAAAAATTATGAGTGAGGCCATTCACAGTACCAGGCGTAAAGGAAGACCGTGTCTTAGATGGATGGATGGCGTGGCAGAAGATGCCCGGACGATCCTAGGGGTCATGGACTGGGTGTAATAATATCCAATGGCAGATTGGCGGAATTTATTGGAGGAGACCAGGGATCAGTAATGGTCGTAATGGTCTGTCGAGCCAATGGAAGAAGAAGAAGAACACAAACATCATTCTAATATCAACTTAAAATTTTTAAAGAAAATAAAATTCCCTGATATAAACTATTAAAATATTGTATACATCTCATAAAAATAACAAAAATAATTGAAACTTGTTTATTTATGTTTTAAAAATAAAAAATTGTGATTATTGCAGGTAAATATGAACGTCAATATCGATCTTATTTCAAAATTATTTTTCATGACTTTAAATAGAGATTAACTTTTTCAGGTGATTAAAATATATTGTTTTATTTCTGCTATATGGCCGAGAACCAATCTCTTGAGAACTCCAATCCATTTCTAAATAATCAAGGTTTTACTGTACTATATTAAATAATTTATTCTAATTAACTTACCTACATCGATATTATAATAGAGCAAGGAGCGAATGTTGATAAGGATAAATTAGTTTTAAACATTTTAACTAAGTTTTACTAAAATAATATTATTAAGATGAAAAGCACATGTGATTTACTAGTAGTTAAAGATACTAAAAGTATTGAATATAATAAATGTAGTTTTATAGATTTTATGATTTTTACTTTAAGTAACTATTAGTATGGTTAAGATGATACAACTTAAACATTTTAAAGTTTCATTTCCTGTGACTAGCCTTGAGAAATTATTTATGAAATATTTAATATGTGGTTGAACTGCAAAAATGCGTTGGAATTGAATCAAAATGAAACATGATAAGCACGATGCTTGATTGTTCTTTTTTTTTTTTTTTTATTCGATTACTAAATCATTCCCTTGAACTTT